CTGAGGCAGGAAGATCCCTTTGAATTCGAGTCCAGCGCTGGCTACAGTGTGAGTTCAAGGCCACCCAGAACTGTATAGTGGAACTCTGTCTCATAAAGATCAGGGGGAAAAAAGTCTAACATACAAAGTGGTCCTCTGGACCATGACTTCCTCTTCCTTTTAAAATAAGCATTCTCTGGACTGCTGACAGCATGCAGCAGTTTTGCCTGTTTCACTTTATAGGAATAACCTAATAGAGGATGTATCTTTGCAGGCTGGCTTCTTTTGTTCAAATTGAGCTTGTGAGCAGCAGTCCGGCTATAGCGCAGTGAGTTCTCACGTCTTGAAGGCAGGCATTTCTGCCGGAAGGCTGCGAGTAGCCCTGATGCCCATGTCTGAGTTAACTAATCTTACGTTACTCTTTTTTATAAGGCAAGGGGGCAGGGTCAAGGTGACAGTTGTCCAGAGGCACGAGGGGAAGGAGGTGAAACGTGTGGGAGAAAAACTATAGGTTGCTCTAGGATAACTTGGATTAAATTACAGAACTGCAGGTCAGATTTGATGTTAAATATCATGAGGAATTTCTCAAATCAACCCAACTTCTAGCACTTTGGCCATGTTAATGTAATTTGCAGTACTAGTATGGCTTTCTTTCATTTCTAGGTTCATATCCTATATTAAATGTGCTCTAGGCTTTTCAGCAGAGTAGCTGAAGTCTTCCCAGATGGATGGTTTCATTGAAATATAGAATGCTGGGGGGCCAGGGAGCTAGCTCAGCAGCCTAAGTGTCTGCCTGGCAAACGCAAGGACCCAAGTTCGATCCCTGGTACTGCATGTGTGCCAGCCCCATGCCAAGCTAGCCACCAAAACTGGGCATGGTGGTGCATGCCTGTAATCCCAGCACTGGGGAGGCAGAGACAGGAGGATCACTACCAGTCTGAGCTGTGTAGTGAGACCTTATACCAAATAAATAAATAAATAAAATATTTTTAAAAAATATTTGAAAAAAATATATGTACAATGTCAGGGATATAGTTCAGCAGCACAGTACCTGCCTGGTAAGTGCAAGGTCCTGAGTTCGATTTCTGAATACACACACACACACACACACGCACGCACATACACACATACACACACAAAAATAAACAGATATGCAATGCACATATTATTAAGCATACCACAACCTAGGTAGGTGTGATGACTCTACAAGAACTCACTTCATTAACTGAGAGTGGATTCCAACACATTATAAAGTGTTTCAAATGCTGCCAGGCTGCCCAGTAGCACCTGGCTCTCAGCTCACACGAATGTGGACAAGCCAGCTTTCAGCTTGTGAAGCCGACTGCACCTAGAGGGCAGTGCCAGGCGTGGGAAGGGTGTGTGGCACAGGAAGGCACATTTTATTTCTGCTTAAATAATTTGCTCTTTGCAGGGATGCCCAAGTGGTCAGGGGCTTCTATAGAAAGGCAGGCAAGGACTCAGAATTCAAGGCAGGCAACAGGACATTGAGATCTCTGGGTCTAATCTCATGACATTCGCAAGACCACTCAGTCCCTGGATGGCAGCAAAAGAACGGGAAGAGGGAACAAGAGAAGAAGAGAGGAGGAGCTCAGCCATGCTAACCCATGGCAAAACAATTATAAAAATTTTCCCAATAGAAAAAGAACAGGTAGGGAGTTGGGTGGGCGCTGCAGTTTATATCTGAAGTGTAACCTCAAAGACCCTACTTCTGAGTGGCACCAGCAGGTGGTATCACTAGGAGGCTGTGAAAGCGAGGGGGCAGAGCCTAGTGCAGGGGAGTCAGGTCACAGGGCCTGCACTTGAGGGAGTCCTGGGACCCTCCCCCACCTTAGCACCCCCTCCTGCTTTGCCTCCATGTCACCATGAGGTGACCAAGCTCACCCTGCCACACACTCCTTATGATAATGTGCTCTCTTACCAGGGCATCAGAGTCACATGGGTAAGGGACCGTGGGCCAAAGCTGCTGAAACAGTGAGCTAAAATAAATGTTGTCTCCACTTAACCTGATTTGTCACAGTGCTGGAGAGCTGGCACAGTGAGCAGCTAAGGCAAGGAGATTAGGCCCAGGAAGCATGGTCTTGGAGCCATGAGGTCCTACTCCAAGTCCTACGTCATCAGCTTTCAGTATTTTCACCTAAAAATGGGAAAATAAAGCCAGTAATGCTTTCGGCCTTTGTAAGTAATGTACCCCTATTCCTTGGTCTTTCTGCCAGTCTATCTCTGTGTTAGTAGTAAGACTTCACCCATCATTAACTTTGTTGATAGTTCTAATACAGGAGCCAAACTGTTCTCAAATAAATAAGCAGCTCCATTTAAATACATGTGAGTTTTGCCAACCCACCTATTTCTGACCTGAGACCATTCCCTCCAGGACAGCTTATTATTCTCCAGTTCACTTGGTCCTCATGTTCTCACTACAAAGGGAAAGAACATTTTTGATGTTAGGAACATAGTAGGTGGCCACTGGCCGGCTCCATGGGCCCAAGGCTGGGCTGCACATTTGCTGATGGAAAATACAATCTCCAAAGAATGCCCTTCCAGCTTGCGAAGATTATTTGTAGCTTCTGACATGGAAGGCTTCAAGTACAGAATCAATATCATTATTAACACTAACTCAAATGAACTCTCCAGGAAGGAGGGCTGTAAAGTCTGCACAGGCTGTCCACAAGAAATGCGGTCTCTGAGCACTGAACAATGGGATGGGAAGGATAAATGGAGAAATGGGAGCGGGGTTTGGGGCTTGGCTTTCTTGTTTTTTTTTTTTTTTTTGCGGAACTGGGGATTGAACTCAGGCCCTTGCCCTTGCTAGGCAAGCACTTATTCTACTGAGCCATCTCCCCAGTCCCTGGCTTTCTTTTTGAGGTCTCTGTGGTCCTTTTTTCTGACTGCAACATCTTCCCACTCTAATTCTTCTTTTCTGTAAAAGGAATACAGGTGCAAAATCTCTAAGGAAAAACCCTTCTGCTCACAGACCTGCGGGTGTCCAGCTTCCTGCTCCACAGTAATTTAAGGTCAACCTCTTCAGACCTCACCTGCCCATCCAGAAAGCCCCAAGAAGGAGATACGTCACCAGTTGGGGTGATTCACTTATACAGCATCTCATGGATGCATTTTGCTTAGTCTTCGCTTATATCGTAGGCTTCCTCAAGACCCCCAACTTGCCCCCTTGTCTCCAGGAGGCCTTTCTGCATATTTAGGCCTCAGACAGTGCTCCTTCCCCCACTTCTGAACTTTGACAGCAACCGAGGTACATTTCATATGCTATTAATTAACTTAATGCATTGTCTTTTATTCTGTTAGGTGTTAAATTTCTCCAGACTGCTGACATGGGGACTTGACTCAGTGATAGAATAACAGCCTAACAAGAATGGCCAACGGGGCTACTTTTTCTCATTTGACCACGCGGAAGAGGCTCTTTCTACTGAATCACACAAAACATGGCACAGGTCGGCTTAAACTCTCTCCTTCCTTTCCAGTCTATTTCAGACATGTGTAGACCATGTCAGCTACCATGGATAGATCCCAGTTACTCTTCAAGGAGAAACACCATCTCCTTACACCTCTGAATGACACCATTCATCAAATACTTTCTTTCATCTTTATTAACACACAGAAAGCTGACGCAGTTTTCTGGATGAAGCAGAATGAAAGACATACTCTAAAGGAAACTAAGAATAAGCTACCATGATACACATCAAGTTCTGAGACAGATAATTCAGCAATAATTGTTAAAAGGCCTGGGCCAGGGATATAGCTTAGCAGACTAGGTGCCTGCTTTGGCAAGCACAGGGACCAGGGCTCAATCCCTCGTCCCACATACCACACTACCCCTGCCCCTGGGGCGTGCTGAGTGGCGACTGAGTCAGGGCGTGGTGGTGCATGCCTGTAATCCTAGCACTGGGGAAGCTGAGACAGGAGGATCACTACAAGTCCAATCTGTGTAGTGAGACCCTGTACCAAATACATAAATGAAAAAAAAGTCCACCACAGCCAGAGTCTAGGAGGAAGGGGAGTGGAGGCCAGAGTGGGCCACTGGCCTTCACACAGAGGGGAATTTCAGTTCAAGGCAGTGATTGCTACCCACGCAGGCTGCACGAAGGCTGGCAGTTACTTGGGGACACACTTATCTGCTCTCTTTGTTTAATAGGAACCTCTGGTTTTGGTTCTTAAGTCACATAGGTTGATCTGTAGAGCCACCTCAGAGACATGGGCGGCAGCCCCAGCCCACCATTTAGCGCTGGCCTTGGCCTGGGGTGGATCATTCCATCCAGTTTCCTTTTCAGCAAAAAAGAAATAACACCACTCCATTGATCTGTCCATCTGTTCATGGCGCACTGTGAGGCAAACACGACAGGACATGATGGCGAGCGCAAGGTTTTCACCGTTACAGGGCATCTAGATCATCTCCCCAGCTTGAGGTTGTGGAGAACAAAAGTATCTCTGAATAAGTGCTGTAACAAGAGAAAGCTGCCTTCGTCAGCAGCGCCTTTCACCTTGCTCCAGCTGTGTGACCTGGGAAGGCTTTGTTCCCTAGACTTTCTACTCTCACCTAAAAAAAAGGAGGGTATTTCCTGTTACAAAGTTATACCACACACAGAAGGTAAGCTTCTCAGGTACTTAACTTTCTTACAGCTTTCTAAGAGATGATGGCTTAGTTCAGAGGCTACAGAAAGGCAGGTGAACGTGACGAGCCCCACGTACCACCTCCCCGACTCAGGAGAAGCACTGCACAGAGCTCTATCAGCCGCTGCACAACTGTCATGAGTTTGGTGCTCAGTTTGGCCGCTCAAGGACCCCTCACGTGTGCCTGAGAACAGTTTTCCAGGGAAGAGCTCTTCCTGCCCGTGAGTGTTCCTGGTTCCTAATGAATACCAGATCACGAGCGTGTACAGCACAGGCAGCTCAAGTGCCAGTCTCTGCTTCCCCTGCCAGCCTGCCTGCTGCTCACCCAGAGGACAGAATCAGAAAAACCTTGTGGCAGGCCCTGCCTGTTGCAAAACGGAGCTCAGCGTTGTGTTTACCTTGAGGGCCTTCTGTGCCGACTCACTAGACCCGATCGCGATCAGGTTGGGCCCAGCCATGCTGCAGAAGCTCTTCAGGTGCAAAGAATCAGCCACGGGGACTGTGGAGACCGCGTAGTCCTGTGCAGACAAGCGAAAAACAGGCAGTTTGGTACTGCACAGCAGTCCTAAAACTGATTCAAAGCCTGCCTGAAACATACTCCTTTGAAGGCTGCCAGGCCCTGAATACCAGGAAGCACATCTGGGACCAGGTTTTAGCACTGACAGTTAAAGGAAGATTTCTTCTAGGAAGAAAGCAGTTTCCTTCTCAATGTGGGGCTGCCCCAACACCTTCGCCCGCTATTTAAGCAGTGGATTTCTCTGGGATAGTGGTTGAACACTTTGTGCAGCTCCTGTGTCTCCCTGGAGCCTCCCGTCCTCATGGGATCAGAGTTTCTGGGAGCTGTTTCCCTTCCTAAGCTGTCTGGTGAGCCAGCCTGCTGGTCATTGTTAGGAGGACCCCGAAGGAAGGCACGTGTAAGACCTAGCTCAGCTCTCGGCACCCAGTGGGCACCCACATACAGGTGACACTTGCAGCTAATCCAAAACGTCACACTTCCTATCTGAGTCAACTGAGTCTTCAGCTTTTTTTTTTTTTTCACACCATTGACTGTAACATGTGCAGGGTGCTCGTGGGACTCCACGGGAGGACACAGAAGATGACCCTGCAAACTGTCAGTTGCTCCCGGGCTGTGCTAGGCCAACGAAGACTACTTACTGAGAAATTTGAATTTGATAGCTTTTAAATTTTCTAGCAAATGTATAAATGGTAGGAATTATTTTGCAAAACTGGTGAAATATAAGCACCATTACTCATGACCTGTCGGTTCAATGGACCTATGAATATTTATTAAGTAATCACTTGGTGCCAGGCATAAATTATCCTTTACCTACCTTGAAAGTATCAGCCAAGATTTCAGCACCTCGTTGATTTGTCCTTTTGGAAAGGCCCACGAAGAATTCTCTGCCTGTAAGAGATGTCATGGAGTACAGTGAGCGTGTGGTCCCAGGGATGGCGCACTATCTTGTCTATCTATAAATAACAACCAGAGAGCATCACAGTTCTTTCCCAGCAGAGAACAGCTCCATCCAGAGGCCCCTGCTGTATTTACATAAAAATGGATTTCAAATGATTCCCCTTAAAAATAAGCTTTTTCAAATTCACAGAGACAGAAAGGGCGGTGGTGGCTTTCAGGAACAGAGAGGAGGCGAAGCTGAAGGTGGTGTGTAACAGGAATGGAGTCCCAGCTCAGGAAGATGAGAAGGTCCTAGAGATAATTCCACAAAAACATAAAGATACCTATGGCTCTGAATAGACTTCTGAAAATCTTGGAGATGATAAAGATTCTTCTCCTCCCCCTCCCCCTCCTCCCCTCCCCCTTCTCCTCTCCCCCTCCTCCCTCCCCCTCCTCCTTCTCCTCCTTCTCGTCCTTCTCCTCCTCTGTAGCCCAGCCTCTCCTCACACTTGCAGCACTCCTCCTGCCTCTGGCTCCTGAGTGTTGGGATCACAGGTGTGTGCTCACACCTCAGTAGGTGATAAATCTCACGTTGTATATATTTTAGCACAATAAAGAATAAACTTTTACTTAGGAAACAATAGAATTGAATACATTAATAATCAAGCAGCAATGACAAATTAGCAGTACTTTTTTCCCTCTTGATTTTTTTTTTTTTTCTTGATGGAACCAGGGATTGAACTCAGGCCCTTGCACTTGCCAGGCAGGTGCTTATTCTACTGAGCCATCTCCTCAGCCCTTTCCTTCTTGAAAGAATGGTACTAGATGTCCTTACTGCTGCTGGATCCCTTTTCTTACATAGATCATTTAAGACCTAAAGAAATGACCTGAAAAAAGAGTTTAATATTGACTGACCAGGTCTGACCTCTAAGAGCTCTGTCTTTTAAACTATACATTCATTTATTTTAAATCAAAACACCTACCTGCAAGCATCAAGACATCTACCTGCAAAATGCAAGTTTCTGAGGATCAAACTTTCTTATTTGACTTTTCTGAAATTCTGCAGTTCGTCTACTTAGAAAGAAAAACACAAGATAAAAATGGTCTCTAAATCATAAGGAAAGAATGTGGGGATTCTTATCTTTCCTTAACTTTTTGGTAAACTATGTTCATGAGTGGAAAAAAAAAATGTAGTATTTACCCACAATGGAATGCTACTCCGTCATAAAGAATAAACCTGAATTACTCGCCCGAAAATGGACGCACCCTGGTACCATAATGCTAAGTGAAGTACCTCCGACACACAGCTGAAATGCTGCATGGTTTCTGCCATATGAGATCCCAATACACAAACACAGTATAAAATAAGACAAAAGAAATCTTCACATCAAAAAGTTTTTTCAGATCTTTAAAAAAGGAAATGTGGGGGAAATATTCAGAGGGAAATCAGTTTGTTTTTTTTCTAGAGCACTATGGTAAAGTATAAGAAGACAGCCATGAGGAAGGAATTCTTTGATAGAATTAATTATTATTATTATTATTTTTTTTGGTACTGGGGGTCTCTGGCACTTGCCAGGCAGGTGCTTAGGCTGCTGAACTATCCGCCCAGTTCCTTTGATAGATTTTATGAGCGCTTACCTTTGCTCTTCATGCTGTCCTTATAAAAGAGGTCAATGACACAGGTCAGATGATGTCATGACATATTCCAAGGGCTTGATGGTATTGGCACACAAAGTAATCTTTTGTGGCATGCTGACAATTTTTTTTGGCAGTGGTATAGTTGTGTTGCCCATTAAGAAAACTCCATATTAAAAATCAAAGTTTAATTTATGGAAATTTTTTTTACTTGAGAAGAGTATTAGTTTATTTAAAAAGTCATCTACAATTTAAAAATCATATTTTATTAACCCTGTAAGCTAATAGTAGATTTATACATAACTTTTTAGAAAAACACTTAATGCATGTAGCTAGTTCTAACATACTGATAGAGGGACAGGCATACTATTCCCATTTTTAAAACTAAGGTATGATCACAGAGAGCACATTGGCCAAGCAATGGCCGTGACTCATCCACATGGCTGCACTGACAAAGGTTCTACAATCTGAGGTACAGGATCTCAGGATAAATCCTGAGGGGATTTCACTGACCTTCTCAGACCAAAAAGCTACAACTCTTATTGCACAGGTCCTGCTTTACCTTGGTCTTAACCATCCAGTAGAAAAGTATGAAGACAAAATATAGGATGTAATAGCCATGCTGTTATGTTGAGCTGTAGGGGACTCAGGTCAATAATTTCTGACATTGCCAGTTAAACAGAAGACCCAATGCTATTATGGTCTACTGGACTCTTTTAGAATACTTTGCTGAGTTTACACACCTATAATATTCAATAACGAAACTTCGAAAAAATAGGGTATACAGGTGAACGTCCATTTTGTATCTGTGTATTCAAAGTGGTGAGGATAGATATATAGTTGCATTCTCTTAATGAATAGAATGATTTGTTCTAATGGTGTTTGTAAATAGGATCTCAAGTCCTCATCTTGTATAGCAATTAACCACTAAGAAGAATATATGCAGTGTGTTATTTGTTGAAACTGTACTTCCGATTTGATTTGAAACTGTCTCATTGCTGTTTATCAATAAAATTTTGGAAAAAAAATAAAATAAAACTAAGGCATGACAGGAAGTACAAAGATAAAGATATGCTATTCATCTTCGTGAAAAGTTGGACTTCTCTTTCTGGCAGTATTGTGGGCGAGATTCCTAAACAGCTTTCCTGACCTAAATAATTACAATGCTAGAATTGAAATATTAATTATTTTGTTTTTATGTCTCATGTGTAATTTTCTTCTATGGAAAGATACTCCCCCACCTGCTCTGTGCTTCATTAGTTTAGAAGAGAAACCAGGCCATATATGCTTTTTTTTTTTTTTTTTTTAAATTTTATTTATTTATTTATGTGTGTGTGTGTGGCCAGCTCAGCCCACCAGGGGGTGGGGCTGGCTGGCATGTGGTGCTGGGGGATTGAACTGTGGTCCCTGTGCTTTGTTAAACTTGTTCTAAGTAGGTGCTTTAGACCACTGAGCCATCTCAGCAGCCCACATATATGCTTTTGAATATCCTGCGTTCTGGAATTCGGATGTGGCTTTGAACTCAGGCCCTTGTGCTTGCCGGGCAAGCGCTTATCCTACTGAGCTATCTCCCCAGCCCCATCATTTAACCTTTAAATTGTCCTTTATATTTTCAGGACACTGACAGTTTAATGTAGGTGGTTAATTAGATTCTCAATTTTTGGATAGAGTTATTTCAGAGATGGAGCTATTATTCTGTTTCTTCAATCAGGGGTTTGGTTTACTTGAAACATAATTTGTGAAGGAAAGGTGGGCTAATGGATCTTTCCACTAGTGGGTATCTGGTATACCTAGATATCTAGTAGATATCCACTAGAAGGATGGGTTGGTAGTCCAGGAAGTTGAAATAATGCCCAAGTTAAAAAACAAATCATTATCCTATGAGTCAATGATTAGATAATAATGAAAATTAGAAAAATTTGGGATGAAAAGATAACAAAAACACTCACATTGAAACAAGGATTTTGCTGAAACAGTATTTAGAAGGAAAGTTAAACAGCCTTAAATGCTTACATTAGAGAAAATAAAAGATTCCAGATTAATGAGATAAAATTCCATTTTAAGATATGGGGGAAAAGAATAAAAACAAAAAAGTCAAAGGAAGGAAATCAAGAGAAAGGCAACATTCAAGAGAGAGAGAGCTCAACAAAATCAAAGGCCACAGAAATAAAAGTCTGAAAACACGTTAGCAAACCAAAGCCAACGCTGCATGAAAAAGTGAATAAATCATAATCTAGTTTAATTTCATCCCAGAGATCCAAGACTGGTCGATTATCAGAAAATCAATTAATGTAATTGATCATACCAGTAGATTAAAGAAGAAAAGTCACATAACCATCTTCTTGAAGTGAGAAAAAAGTTTGCCCTATACCTGGAACTCATTTCCAAGTGCTGACCTTCGAGATACTCTTGCTATGTCCCCAAGAAACACATACCAGAGTGAGGACAGCAGCACTGTAGGTATTGCTAGGCCAAGCCCAGAAAACTTTGAAGACATACATTACCGGCAAAATGCGTAAGTACACTGTGGGGTATTCCCACCCTGGAGTACTAGTCAGCACTGACAATGAACTACAACTATACACATCAACTTAGATCGAAAGAAGCAAAATCACGTAAGCGTTCATATTGTGGGACTGTAATAAGATAACATTACCACGCAAGCACAACAAGATATCTAAGCCACGGATAACTTAGACATATTTATATTGAGATAAACTTTCTGGCGGTATTGTGGGCAAAATCCCTACACAGCTGTCCCGCACTACTGCCAGGCAGTGATTTGCACAAAAGTCAGGGCAGCATTGCCCTGCGGCCGGCAGAAAGGAAGGCTCGGGACTGGGGTGTGTGGTCATGAGCGATTTCTACAGAGTTGGCATCCTCCTGTCTATCTCCTAAGCTGGGGTGAGCACACAAGAGTGGATTTTACAATTGGTCTTTGAAGGCTATATACACACTTTACACATCAGTTGCATGTACTCTTACTGCGCAGAAATCCATATTTTAAAAGTAGAGCTAAGCAGATACTGTCTATTCATGAGAAATGGGATGAAAACGATTTTTGCCCGTAGCTGCCTGCCTGCTTGCTGGATTTCGCAGCAGGAACTGGAATTGGAAAGCTGCTCTTCTGTCCATTTCCTGATGAATTATTAATGAGCCTTGTGGGTACAGCAGGAAGAGGGCACAGAGCACATGGAAAGCGCCGTGGACTTCGTTTCTTTTTATTTTTAATTTTTACCAAATATCGTATAATTTCAGTGTGAAAAACATTTACATACACATTTGTTAAGATCTGAGATGGATCACAAAGTAACAAGAGGCAAATAACATGAGCCAGGGCTCCACATAGAATTAACCACATGTGCCCTTCATTTCTTTTCTAACTTTGCCTAATCCAGAAACTGAAGGGCACTAGCTGCATAACAAAGTAACTGTAAGTAATGGCCCCAGTGAATTGCACATATAGAAATGGTTAAAATGGCAATTTAAAAAAAAAATATTTTACCTGGTGGGAGGTTAAAGAGAAAGTAGGAATAGACATTAGGTATGAATGATGCTCTGAGCAGAGAGCCCAACACTGTCTCAGTTTTCAGTAAAATCACTGGTAGGATGTTAGCCTGTAGATCAGGCTTGAAACGCTGTAGGAGGACCTTGGACCAAAAGGCCAGATTCCTGGTGTAGCGGTGCCTTCACTCCGACGAGATTTTAGGGCCTGGATGCATGTCAGCTGTTAAAGTAACCAAAGCTGATCACAGCTTGGTTGTGCCATCTTTCAAAGGCGACCTATATCTGCTAGTCATAGGTTACTGTATTTGTAATATGGCTATATTTTTATAGAAAAAGAGTTGCACTGTAAGGACATGCAATGTGTACACCTAACTTTTCACAAAAACTTATTTTCTAACAGAAACAGGATTATTGTTCCGGGCTGTCAAAAAGAATGGATGTCCAATCAACAAGAGACCGAAAGAATATTCTAAGAGGACAGTTCAGGGCAGATCTGAGGAATGCTTGAGTCGGTCCGGGTAAAGCTAGACCCAAGAATGCTGTGTGGGCTCCCTAATGCCTTGCTCTGTGTCCCGAGGGCTCAGTGTGCCTAAAGAGAAACCCTAGGGGCAGGGCCACTGCCTGTGACAGTGGGAGCACACGCTGTGGAGAACACACAGCTCTAGGGATCCTCCTTGCACGACGCGTGGTAGGCTGGCTCCCTGGAGCGTGGCTGTGTGAAGGTTCCACCACAGGCATGCGGCGCTGAGCAAATGTCTGAAGAAACACTCCTGGCCTGGGAACATTAATCATACCCTCACGAAAGCAACACAAGGCATCATTTTTACACTAAGACAAAGACAGTCATGTTTTGGCTATGTAATATCACCTCAATTTAAATTCATATCCCCTGAAATGGTAGACTTCCAAGAAGCCTCACACTTTCCCTGAGCTACCCAGAGCTACTTTGCCAATCCCCAAGGTTCAGCCTCTGGTGTCTGTACTGCTCTGGTGAAACAAATATCTTTTTTCCTATAATAAACTCTCCCTATAAATAAACTCTTCCTATAAATTAAAATTATCATTGGTTATCATGCTCCCGAGTGTAACCACAATGAATCTGAGGATCCAGCTTTCATACATGATCGAGAAGAGCTGGAAAGGCTAAACGCTAAAATTACTATTTCTTGAGTAACCACATTATATCAATTGTAAAAATTGATTCTAGTTAGATCAATAATATTACCAGTTATAATTCTGTTGAGTTCTGCTATTCATCTGGCACTACACCAAATCAGTCTGCACAGAAAATTATTTGAATTCATCTTGCCATCTGGGAAGAAAATTATTGATAAATGACACTAATCTTCAATTAAGAATTCTTTATATACAAACTAGATAAAGAGTCACAGGCTGAAAAATTATCCAACTCATAAACTTAACTGTGGAGGAGCACAGAAACAAGATATATGCAAACAATGTACTTATTGAAAATATTCTTGTAAAGATTGGGCAAATATGTTTATATGAAAAGTACTGAAAGGACAGACAGATAAATAATGAAGTGAATGTGAATGGAAGGTCATTTGTCCTTATTGTGCTTTTCTGTATTTTCCAAATTCCCTGCATTTAGCATTTATTCCTTCAGTAATGAAAAAAAAAACCAACTGTAAAGAAACAAGTGAGTATGTGTCAGGTACTAGAAATATTTTTGGACAGAAAAAATAAACACAACTGTACCTGTGAATAAGACATCTCCTCCGTCTAAGGTGGCATTTTCATCTTTCATTTCCACTATATTGAGCTGAAGTTTTTCTAATGCTTCTTTCATCATGTCAACCTGTTAAAAATAAAATGATTCATATTAGCAGCCTAAGATTTTCTAATGAGAAGACTATTTAAAATTTCTGAGCACTAAATCACACTCCCATGTGAATATATGCACACACATAACACACATGCACGGGCACGCACCCTTGTTACCGGGGCAGGATCGGTCATAATCATTCATCAGAGAAGAAATTATCTGAGACACACTGTCCCTTTTGTTTGCTTCTAGTCTAAGGCTGAGTCAATACTACAGTTCATTTTGTGGAGGGAGGCTAACTAATTAGGGCACCACTGGAGGCTGACCAGTTAGGACACATAAATCATAGAAGGTAGGCGGTGTATAACACAATGCTTTTGTCCTTGACAGAAAGCAGAAGGTTTAACTTGAAACCTAAGTCAAGGGTAGTCAGTCAGAATTACACACAGCGAAAAATAATGTAAGGATATCAATACTTAGTAACTTGAAATTTCAACCTATAGTATAGTCATCCTTTTCCTTCTTTCATTCTGTCTGTCTCTGTCTCTGTCTGTCTCTCTCTTTCTCTTTGTGAGATAGGGTCTCATGTGTAGTTCCGGCTAGCCTTGAGCGATGTACTGCAGGCTGGCCTTGAATTTATGGCAGTCCTCCATATTGTCATCCTTTTCAATTCAAATATTTTCTAAACTTCCACAACGTCCAAGGCTTCTTTGTAAATATAAATTGTTATTTAAGTTTATACTTGTCTTTTAAAATGTATTTCCATAGAGATAAATAACAAACACGAATGAAATCAAACTAAAGAAACTGGAAAATGAAGTGTAGGTACTCTTATAATTCCAAGGTGTGTCTAAAGGCAGAGGGTACTACGGCTGAGTTAGGGAACACTATAGTGAATATA